ATATACACACGGTAGCTGACGAGTAGCTCTTATTTGAGATTCGGATATGCCAGATAAGTTGAAAGGGTGTTTTTTTCTTTATTTTAAATCACAAATAAGCTTTAAGAATAAATCAGTTCATAAAACTAAGAAAAACATCAGTACTCGTGAGTAATCATGTACATCCATGTTTTATATAATTTATTATTTACAATATAGTTTTAAAGAGGAATTAAATTCTTCCTAATAAGATATTTCTTAAGATTAAATTTCTAACATAAGTGCTTATCAAAGAGATTAATATATTTAAATAGGACTCTATTACAACTGATAATGTTTCCTTAGAGCCTGACAACAGCACCAGAAATCCCAAAACTCAAGTAAGTGGAACTCAACTGAACAGTAACATGAAGTGAGATGAAGGCAGAACTACTTAATCAAGTAGAAGTTTCACATTGGATTCTCTCCTGGTGGCTAGAATTATTTGGCATTCTCCAAAAACACAAAGTTGTACGCTTGGGGTTCACCTCTAATCTCCCTTCCTTTCTCCACTCCACGATTTTTGTTACCCGTCAGAATCACATTAATATGGACCAAAGGTCTATAGACAGGCAAGGATTTCAGAAAAATACTGTTAACAGTAATTGCATATTTTGTTCTCAAAAGCTTTCTGTTCGAAGTTATTTTTTTATATACCTAGATACCATGTTTGGTCCAAGTATGTATGCACAGTATCATTAAAATGAGTGGCATACCCATCAAGAAATCAAACATCTCTTCTTGACCATCTTAACAAGGCCAGGTGTTGCATCACTGTATCGGTAGTTTATTGACTGCTGCTAGAGAAAAAAATTGATTGTTCACATAACCTGCATAACCTCTTATTTCCCACCTTTGTTTTGTTTCATTTTTTAATATAAAATGCTAAGTGTTCTGCAAATAATGTATTTGGAGAGTATTTGCATTAGATTCTTCCACTACTCTCCGTTTGCCAATTCTTGAGCTGACCCATGGTAAAAAAAATAATTTGCATTATTTGAATAGTATGGGCTAAATAATAATATAGTTTAATGGGAGTGGAACTACAAGTACATTTTATAGCAGGAATCAACTTCAATATACATTTTTTTAAAAAAAGATTTAGAAAACACTGCAACAAAGAGGCTTCTTTGTCCTTTTATATATATGCAGCATTAACTACTCTGATGTGCAACATCTTTCAGATGACCCAGGAGGTATCTTTTGAGTGCTTGCTTTTGAAAAAAGAAAACTTTCACACATTAAACAGGAGAAACGCTCCCAACGTGTTCACCAAGAAGTTTGCAAATTGCATGTTAACTACCTCAGGAAAACTCTGCTCAGAAATAAATGTTCCATCCGACCACAAAACAAAAGCAGCATCAGTAAATGCAAGATTCATCAAACCAGACTACCGATTATTTCTTATCTGAACTTACATGCTCAGTACTACTCAGTATAATGTTTCCTCATGCTCTGGCCTCCCTGATAAAACCTCTAAGGCTGACTCCAGGACTGATGATTTTGCATAAACACTGCTGTATACCATGTATGCAGCAGGTACTGAGAGATGTCACACTGGAGCAGGTAAGATAAGCAGACAAGATAAGCAGACAAGCTTTAATAAACAAACAAGCAGAAACCACCACGATGACATGCATGCATGTGAAAAAATCAGTGGCTTTTTGAAGCCAAACCAGCTCATAGCAGAACCGTACACGCAGCTGTGTCAGTAGAACAACTGAAGCTTGTGACAGGAACATTTTCAGCCAGCCGTGTTACCAACTGCTGTAACTTTGCACTTACCCTTCAACTCGATAAGCTACTACTACAAGATAGCATTCTTCCAAAAAGCACAATGAAAGTAAAATCATTTTTGAAACTATCAACAAGGGCTGGAGCACAGTGTTTGCAGGCAGATCCCACTACCTACCTGTAGAATTCTAACTGTTAAGCACCACATATTTTTTGTTAAACATGAATGAACCACTCTCTTCTGTAACAAGTGTATGAAGAAACTGTCAAAAAGAAGAACTTGAAAGGTCAAGTTTGACAAACAACTGAAGATTCAAATTATAATCTCTATTACAACCAAGACCTTTTGGTCTTAAGAAAATTATTTCAAAAAAAATTTGCGCCATTTCATACCTAATTCCACATGGAACTACCTTGGCTAAGCATCCACAACTAAGTATTGCACCATATCAAGTTCTGGGATCATGTTTAGACAATTTAAAAAAAAAAAAAAAAAAAACCACACCCTAACCTTAAACACTTATTTTCTCTTAGGAACTAAGAGAACTGTAAATACTTATTTTCTCTTAGGAACTTCAGGTCAAATCTGTACTTTTGGAAAATGACAAATAATTCTAGCTGGCAGAAGAGAATCCAGTAATAACCATCACTATTAAAGAAAACAACACCACCACCACCACAACCACCACTAAGTAAATTTCTGGGATAACTGAACAACCCTTGACACAGCTATATCATTTCAGCAGCTCTACTGTTTACATTAACCCAGCCTAATGCATTTTATTGCATGACTGTTGAAAGGAAGACACTTTAGTGACATCCAACATTCCCTTTTCATTCACAGTATGAATAGAAGCCAGTATGAAACAAAGACAGATCTCTTCAAAGCAACCAACAGCAAAGCTGATCAAATGAACGTATACTCATTTCTTCCCCCTCTGCTACTCCACTGAAGTAATGTAGCTAACTGTGCTACTACTGGCTATCCTGTGACAGTATAAAACAGCTCTACTAACATCAACTATCTCTGCATTAATGCAAATTCTATGTCAAATGTATATAATATCAAGTTTTATAAGTATGGATTATATTGTAATGGTTATACTGGAAACAAGTCACTGGGGGAGAAAAACTGTGGTGTCTATGGAGGGGTATTTTAGATGGATTCTGTGTCCAAAATAAAAAGGAAATGTGTTTAGCGCATCTTATCTAAAATAAAAGCATCTAGCAAAAAAAAAAAAAAAAATCTATTTGCTTACCCAACACATTCTACAGCATTCCAGTTTATTCAATTTGTGCACTCTGACCTGTAATATAATTCCAAGTGGATATGAAAGAAAACAGATACACAAAGATGACAGTAATGAAACAGCATACCATTCACCAACGTAAGAAATAAACCTTTATTATATTTATTGTCATACAGCTACTGTAATTGACAAAGTTGTAGCAAAAGTTCCTATCAAAAAGGAACCACCAGAAACACAACTAAATGGCACACCTTCATACAAACCACCTCAGGTACAGGTACATAAGTTCATATACTTGAAATGTACCACATAAGCCATGGAAACAAACTAAAACACTTATTTTGGTTTGTTGTCTCTCCAAGGATGACTAACGCCACACACCTATGGGTATATTGTGAAAAATAGGACAGCAAATGTCCCTCCCCTGTTGGCCACCACAAGTCAATAATTTTAATTTTCCAAAGCAGGAGTTAGCATCCAGACTATCCTATTAAAAAGCCACAGAGGAAACCATCTTCCATCAATATCCCAAATTGTTCACTTTAGACTGGATACAACATGGCAGTGAGGTCCCTTTGGTATCAGCAGAGACCATCAGCTTCAGCCAACACTGCACATTTTGATCAAAGTCTCAATCTAGACTTCTGTGATATATTTATAAGGGATAAAACTGATTCTGTCTTCAATATTTTCCTGACAAAAACAGAGTTTCCATACTTTTGTCCACAGCAGTTAGGAATTGTTCATTTCTTACAGTTTGTATCAAAACAGTGTAAACAATCTTGACCTTAAATATCAGCATTTGATCTTAAAATCTTCCACAGTTACAGCTGAAGACCTTTTAAGAGTTAAGTTCCATTATGTATTCCTATAAATGGGAACGCATTTTAATGCAATTAAGACAGAGGCAACACACAACAAATTCTAATTAACAGTTATAGGCCTTTTAATTCCAGATTTATTACTTAGAATACACCACACAAGACATCTTGAGCAGTAAAATGCAGTATGTCTCAGAGAAAAAAAAAAAATAATCACACTTCCCAGCTCTTTAAAGGCTACGACATTTTGATCAATAAACTGTAGGGGCAATTTACTGTTTTATACCACTGAACCATATACTCACTTTTCAGAATGAGTGAGATCTGTCACTGCAATTGTTAAGGTTTATGTAACTCTCAACTTCAAATAAAATTTAAAAAAAACCCCATGAAATATGACACTATATTGTTGTTTACTAAAGCTAGACAGCCTGTTCTGCTGGATAATTATTACTACTCCTAGCAGCTATATGACTCTTTGAAACAAGACGCCTGTGTTAAATAACTAAATTACTCTCTTCATATGTGGAAAAAAAAAAACAAAAAAACAAAAAAAAACTGGGGGCTTGGTTATAAAAGGAGCACTCAGTTGATACTGAGATTTCTACCGTCAAATTGTTTACAAAAAATGAGACTCAGACAAACAGTTGAGAGGATGGCCAAGAGCTTGAAAAGGGTAAGCTTTAAGTACACACACGTCAACAATTTCAAAAGAGTGAAACAGGAAGCTGTTTCTGCTCAGAAGTCTGCATTACTGAAAATCTAAACATTATGTTGAGCAAGCAAATCTTGACAGCAAAGCCCAAAGTTAAATCCTGTTCTGGAAAATCTTTGCCCAGCATTGCCTTAATATTGTTTTTCAATTACCCAAACAAGCTTATTTAAAACCGAGCATTCTGAAACCTCTGAAAACACTAATCCACCCCTACGTCATGCTTAGACTGAAGAAGTGTATCAGCTCAAGCCATAGGCAGTTTAGTGACATTTAAACAGCAGCACACTCAAGCAATCGACCAATTGCTCACCTCGTGCTTCTGCAATCCAGGAGAACTTGCGCTGTGTCACACCTGTCTGCCTCACGCGGTCTTCCAACCAAAGCTGACAGCAGCTTAGACTTCACCGTCACCCTCCCATACATTGCTGACATACCCTCACACAGTTAAAGAGCCCCTCTAACAGCCAAGTGCTTTCTATTACTTGAAACCAAGAAGCCACTGTACTGGCAGAAGTCACTGCTGCAGGGCTGTGCTTCACCATTTCTGCCCAGACCACCCGGAGGCAAACTGCCACCACGGCTCCCCGGTTGCTCGCTCCTACGCTCTCCCTCGTGTCCCTCAGCCTGAAGCAGAGCTAACCCAGCAGAAAGCTTCTTTTCCTGGCCATCTAATTCCATGACCCAACCCACCAGAGGATGAGGTGAAGATGAGAGCCAGTGCAGGAGACACACCAGCCATGCAGCGGTGAGGGCAGGACCACCCCTTCTGCCACCAGCCTGCCCTTACCCCGGGGTAGCAGGGACACCGGACTGCACAGCCTCATGCAAACCAAGCTAACAACATGCTCACAACTGAACTGCACATTTCCTTCTGAAGCAACTACCTAATTCACTGCAATTCATTGTAGAGAACAGTAACACTCCAGAGAAGGTATAGTTCAGAAGTCTACAGTTTAAAAACAGTCAAAGGATTTTTTTTTTCTTATACTAGGTGTTTGTGTCACCATTTTAATCCTAGTTCATGCAATCTAAACAAGTGCTTAGTTAAATCTTCCCCTGAAGACTTCCACATAGTTCAAGGAAAAGCCAATTTCTCTTGTCATGTTGTAAGGTTCTTTTAATAGGAGCCACTGCACAACAGAGATAGGAAGGCAGGAATCACAGTGCATCACAGCAGGAAACATCAAGACGGTTACAAACATCAAAGAAATAAAAAGAAGAGCTTTCTTGAATGAGTAACATGTCAATTTCAGAAAAGGAAGCTAACTGAAAAGCAAAAGAAGGTATATTTAGTTATCTCATCCTTTTCAGTTAAGAGAAACTACCTTCCATTGCCAGGTAGCAGCGATTGTTCTAATGCAATGTCATAAAGCAAGGATATAAACACCTACCTGCAGACAACAAAGCCTGCTAAGAACTAATAAATGCCAATTGACATCACTTGTCTGTTAAGAAAGAGGCAGTCACCAATTACCAACAGAATGAGAATTTGTTTAACGATTATGTTAATTTACTGAACTCTTACTAGACAGATATACAGGCAGTATTGATGAGTTCCATAAGGCATTATAAAGCACAGCTGAACTGTTTAAAAACAAAGCCAGAACATATTGTACACTATTTAAGAGAGTCATAAAAGCCTGGTAGTGAGTGAATCCTCAGGATCCTCTCTGAAAAAAGCACAAGTTTTCAGAACTGTATGGATCTGAAATCCTGCTGCCGCAGTAGAAAACTTCCCATCGATGTGCACGGGAGCTTGGACCCCAGGATTCCAACCCTCCTGAACACAGGTGAGAGATCACGCACATCTGGCACACGAAGTGTCTGCGCTTTGTAAACCTTGCAGAGGCACATGCCGGATTGGGCATGTGTTAACGTACATCTGCTCTAAAAGGTAGAGACTGTTTGAGAAACTGTGTCCGAGATGATACATCAGCTCCACTGAGCTCACCAGGGCAGAGGCTGAAGGACTCAGGTTAGGGATGCTGAAGAACACGGTACATCGCATTGTCCAGACCACCACCTATTGTACCTTGTTGTTGTTGTTGCTACTAATAAAGTCTAACCTATCTACAGGAGTAGTGTAGTAAAAGATTGTCCATCTGCAGATTTAGTGCAGTGTAATGTGGCCCTGAAAACAACAAGCAACTATTAAACCTTCAATGCATAATTTCTCTTTGCTCGTGTTAGGGCTGTGTCTAGTTTCTCTTTTTTATATCTTAAAGATTTTAAGTTCCTAAATTAAGAAGGAAATAGAAAATGGCTTTTCAATCAAGAAAAGAATGACTATAAGCACTATCTGTTAATTTGTAATCATTTGTTCATACACAATTTAAATAAGAAACAATGCTACTTTCTCCTTTAAATTCCAGGTCTTGCCAAAGGAGTTTTATTTCAACAATATCATAGACATTAACAGCAATTGATATCAAATAAACACCTATAAAATACTCTCGAAATGATGTGGCCATATAAGCCATGCTTCTGCTTTTTAAGGAGAAAACACAAAGTCAGACCCAAGAGACTGCAGCAGGGTGCACATTTAGTAAGAGTAAGAAGGTTTGACATTTACGTGTAATACAGGACAGTTCAAAGTAGCAAGATCCTGCAGAAACCATTTAGAAAAAGAAGTTTTGGCCTCAACCTGAACAGCCTACCCTGAATGTTAAAATTAACCTTGGAGAATGAACGATTTATTTAAAGAAATAAGCCTACCAGATTTGACCCCCAAGTCAAGTCATGAATCAAACTCCCTCACTTTCCCCTGATTTCCTCACTAAAGTGGGTGAACCTTCCCAAAACTCACTTACTAGCTGAACTACCAACTTTGCAAAGTAATTGCATCTAAAAATACACAACTCTATTTGAGCTTTTCAAATGCCATCATAACTAGGGGGACTGAACATTTCGTTCACTAACCACTACCTCAAAATTAATTTATTAATAAATATGTAAAACACTCATGAGGATTTACCTCTTCCACCTGTATACCAACATTCCTTGCGACTAAAAACATATTTAACTGTAATGACATATTAATCAATAAGCTGTTTGGAAACATATAATGATACTTCAACATCCCCCTTTATTTTTGATTCAGCATTTTCTTTCCTGTCTCAATGATGGAATTCCTCGACCAGGAAGGAGGAACGTCAGGAGCGTGTCCATCAGTTCTGAACTGGCTGAATGCTGCCAAGGCTTTCTTAGTTTTATTTATCTCTTTCATTAAAACCCACCTTCTAAATCTTTCCACAGTGGCTCCAACAAAAAAACAGCATAATTTTGCCTGGCTTTAATAGATGTCACAGAAACAGAAGCATACTCCAGAAGACTGAATCAAACTAATTCACATATCATTCACAACTCTGAAACCTAGATTTACAAAGCTATACAGATTGGATTTAAAAATGGAAAAACATCTATTCAGGAACCTTTCCCTTTTACCCAAGTCACAGCAATATGTGAAAAACACTAAGTTTTAGAAGCATGTCAGTTATATCTTGGGTATTTCACGGTATTGCAGATAAAATGGTAAGGATTACTTAAGCTTTGCCAGTCTCTTAGTAAATGTACTCAGGGAGGAAGTGTGGCTGAAAGCCCTGAACTGCTATTTTAACAAAACCGTAATGCCTCTCTTAACAGTTCTCCTGAATGTTCCTGTTAGCTGTCTACTGCAAGAAACATTTTTACTTCAAGAGTTCCCAAATGCCTCTCTCCATACCTTTCTGTCCTACTATGTTCTTTTGATTTTATCTGGTACTCCTTGTCCTTCTATAATCAGTCTGATTGCAAACTGATTGATCCCAGTCTCTGCACTCCCTTGGAAATGACGCAGCGTGGTGAGATGTTCCTACACTGCTGAACTCATTTGGGTCATGAGCTCAAAAAAAAAAAAAAAAAAGAAACTACACAATTCTGTTCCAATGTGCCTTTAAATCACATTTATAAACTTGTCTTTCTGATTTATCCTTCTGTTTATTTCTCATGCAAGGAGGCAGAGACAAGAATGAACTTGAAGCAATTCCTTCCCTCATTGCAGATTTCAAGTCTCCAGCAATGATTATACTTTACAGACTTATTTACAGCTTGCTTACTCACAGGGATTTTGACAGCTATTCTGTAAATACATTCTCCCACCCACTAAGCTCCATTGTAAACTACCAGGAACATGCGCAGGGTCAGACTTGAGCTCCTTCTGTCATCCTTATTCTCCTTATCTCAGAAAACCAGAATCTGAGCCCACATCCTTGTGCCCTACAAGGTAGATCCTAGCAGCTACCACCTGCATGATCTTTCTGGGTGTCTGTGGACATGGTTTTGCAAGGACTGCAGTCCTTAGAAGTAAAGGAGGAGACAGTGAAAAGAACGTCCTCTTGGACAGCAGGACCTGGACCTCACTACTCTGTTGTCCCAGCTGTCCCATGCCTTGCCAGCCTATTGTTCAGCAGTTGTTTCCCTCAGGCTGCTACAGACTGATCTCCAAATTAAGGACATTGCGAAATCCCTGACAACCTGTATCCTGCACCTCCACCCAGGGAAGTACGGAGGCCTCTATTTACATGCAAACACCAAAATAGAAATTGTTGCAAATTAAGGGACAGCACACTTCTGACACTGACGAGTTCTCTGACGGATTCTGCTCAGTGTTTAAAGACTGACTGAGCAGAGCTGAGTAGACCCAAATCCCACTCTCTCACCTGAGCAGTGAATCACCAGCAACCTCGGCCAGCCCAGCCAAAACATGGCAGGCTCCTTATTCTATGAGATTACAAGAAAACTTTCTGGTTTCAACAACATGCCTAAAGTCACATAACAAACAGGATGTCTACAAAACAAAGCATCCCACCCAAACACAAAGCTGCTAAATCCACTCAAAGGGGCAAACAATTTTGCCCTAGGTAGGGAATATGCCCCCCCTGCTTACTTCAGGTAACATTTGCAAAATATTTTTTTCTTGCATTCTTTAACCAAACTTCAGCAGAATAGAACAGTATTAAAAATACTTATTGTGCATCCACACATGCCCAAGAAACAAGCATGCCTACAGCAGCTTTATACTTCTGGAATCAATTTGCAGAGCCTTTGCTTGGGTAAAGGAAACAAGAGTATGAATTCACAGATTCAATTTCTGCTTTTGTCAACATGCTAGCCAGCAGTACCACTGCATTGCATTAGTAATTAATTTTAGTCAAATTATGCTCATTTTGCTTATTTAAAACTTCAAAGCTTTAGGAAAAGCATACTTTCCTGACCCAAAAAGTAAAGGCTTTGAAGTATCTGATGAAAACAAACTCACTACTATACACAACTGCATAATCAGTTGCAGAGAATATTGTAGTACATTCCTTGCCTTTGCAAATGAAAGAAGATTGTTGGTGATAATGCACCACATACTCAAAAAGTTAAATGAGCTATCTTCTCAACAAAAATCTGAAATATTCTTTTATTTTAAATATCTTGTGGGGAAATTTAATATTTTTGTTCTCTTCTTGTAAAGTGCTTTACATTCCTAATAGTTTTATGTAACTATGAACAAATGCTTTAAATATTAAATATAACCAGGAAAAAAATTATTCTAAAACTATTTTAACACCAACCATGAGATACGAAGAGTATCCCCACTATCAATTTTTTGTACACTTCATCCTAATTAAGCTTCCTGACTTGTTACAAAACTC